TCAGAACGCATGACTCTGTGTAAAAACATATATTCACAATTTCCCCATTGTGGGAAAATAAAGGGATTTTCTATTCTAAATTCTAAAATATATTTAGATCCGTCCAGGAGTAAAGCAGTGTTTTTTTTTTTAGATGTTTATATTGTGATTCTATCAAACTGTATGGATAAAGTGGGTCTGTATGAATTGTTGTCAATGCAGTGCCTACACATACTTGAGATGCTGGTCTTAGTCTAGAATATTTCATTCTGGGAACAGAAACTAGGAATATTTCAGTGAAAAAACAGATCAGTCATAGAAAGATCGATCTAAATATATATATATATATATATATTTATGTCCTGTTGTTTGATACAAGTGTTAATGTTGCATTAAAGGTAATTATCGCAGAAGTATCCATCCCTATTCAACTTTCTCAGATGGTTATTTTTAAATCATAAAATTCAATCTTTTATTTGGTTTTATGTAATAAAAAACTGCCATATAGTAGATCGTATGTATGGCTTTTTGTATTTCAAAATTAGTGTTGATGTCATCAGTCATCACTTTCAGGTTTGACATCTTTTTATGTTTTTGTTAATTTTCCATCAGGAATTTATATATTAAAAAGGCCATAAATAAAAAGAAAAAAAACATCAACTTCCTCACTGGAAAAACAATTCAGCAATAAGTAAAAATTTCTTAAATTAAGTGTATTTACCCTTAATTTGAGTAGATAAAAGAGATTATTTGCCAATTGAATGAGTATTTTTACTCTTAAAACAAGATATTTAGATAAAATGCACTTGAAATAAGACAATGCAATTGTGTTTTCTTATTTTAAATGCAAATTGTCTTGTTCCATTGGCAAAGTGTCTCTTTTATCTCCTCAATCCAAGAACAAATGCATTTATTTTAAGAAAAAATGACTTATCTAGATTTTTCTTTTTTCCTGTGTTATGACACATCATAGAGTCGCTACATCTTTTCATTTTTCCCTTTTATTTCTAAGCAAAATCAGCAGAGAGTTAGACATGTTGGCCAGATATACTGGCTCTAAATGATAATTGCTAAAATGATGTCATGCTGTCTGGCCAGTGCATTGAGAAAATGACGTGCCTGCCTGCCGGGGATCTTTATTCATCTCCGCAGACCGTCAGGGGAACACTGATATTAAAAAGATCAAAAAGCATTTGTATTTGCAAACCTTTCAATAAGCACCAAAGTGGGTTTCTAAGAAATGCTACAAGTAGAGGTTGTACCTACAGAACAGTTTGTTTTGTAATCTAAGAAAAGCTTTTCAGAGATATGTGGAAGCAGACGTGTGCTAGATTAGTTCAAGTTGTTTTGATTGAAAACAACCAATGAAATGTGACCTTTTGTATTAATTGCTCTTCTATGATGTTTTAACTTAAAACTTAAAACGCTTGAAAGGTAAAATTTGACAAAGCTCATCCTTGTAACCTCATTAATCCCCATCATTGCACAGATGGAAATATGCAGTGTTGTGGTTGAAAACCCTGCACCAAAATGTCTCCAAATAAATTTGAACAATTCGGCCTATAATGCACAGTTTGTATGTAAAGCTCTGACTGACACTTCTGCTATAACTAAAGCCCTTGCTGGCTAATCTAATTAATGACGTATAAGGCAGCACTAAGCTCTTCTCGGTCAAGGCACATGAATGAGTGCGGTGACGTTATGTGCAGCGTCAGGGAAGATCGGGCCTGGATGTTCCTCCTTCATGGACGTCATATGATCTATGCATTTTGGAGGGTTTGGTTAGTTATAGATCAGAAGAAGGACACTACAGCATATGGTGAGTAAATCACTAAAGGTGAAGCAAAAGTGTAACTTCTGTTTAACATTAATTTAGTGTACACCTTGGATTTTGCAGTATAGTGGAAAAGGGAGAACTTTTCTGCTATGTCTGACTGGACCAGTTATCATTAATGCAAAATATGACAAGAAGTTTGTCCTTTTTACCTTGTTTGAATTTTCTTCCTACTATCCTATGTTTCCTTTTATTTTCTGTTTCATTTTGATTATTCTATTGGTCATTTTACAGTTGCAGGTTTTGTTTGGTTCACCAGTTGCAATTGGTTTGCTTGGAAACCTTGGTTTTATCTGGGATTTGTGGTGTTTTGTGGTCATATGTCGCTGGGAGTGACAATGGCATCGGATGCAGGAGTTTGCCCTGCAACCAGAGTTGTTTGTGGCTCTGACTTTCAATGTCTTTGTGTCCTTTGGCAAGACACTTCACCTGCATTGCCTACTGATTGTGGTCAGAGGGACTGGTGGCGCCAGTGTAAAGCAGCTGCACTTCAGTCGGGACATTTAGCATTTGATTGTCAGCAGATTAAAAAATATATTTTTATGTTATTTTAGCCCTGCTGAGTCTTATTGTCTATAGGTTATATTGTCAATTAGAGAATACATTCAAATTAAGACAGGATTTATGTGCTGCTCATAGTGTCTTGTGGTAAATGGTGCGTGTTAAATCCTGTATGGCAAGCAATTACTATATTTAATGTCATCTAAAATTATACATAAAATTCAACTATTGAATTTGATCCATAGTAAAATTTAACTTGATCAAAATAATGTCATTATCTTTTGGTGCTTTTTTTCTCTTGCTTAGAACCATTAGGTCACTGCCTTCATTAAATCATAATTAGTTTTCAGCCTAAGATAATACCAAGGGTATCATCTAACCTGGAACCAGAAAGAAGAATTTCCTTATCTAAATTTCTGCTGGAATTAATTCATGGAATCTATACTGTGCTGTTACCTATTATCTAACATGTCGGAATTTTGGAATTCTAATCCCTTAATATTTGCTAAAAGAATTTTTGCAAATGATTTTCTAAGGTAAAAATATTAGTCTGAAAAAAATTTAAATTCCCTAGCTATTCATAAATTGGGGATGTGTATATAACAAAAGCATTAAAAGGTAATAAAATATTTAACATTTTTATTAGAAATTAAATTAGGTGCATTTAACAAGTACATTCTCAACAGTAATTTATTAAGCAATCTAGACAATTGGGCTTCAGAGCTCTAATGAATGTAAAATGCATTTCAACACAATTGGCTTGTATCTTTTAATTAGTCGCAGGCTGAGCAGCTCTATTTAGGCTTTCAAAATAAAGGCACAGTTATTCTTATATTTAAAGAGCACAAAATAACCTATTAATTCTTTATTAAAGAAGAGGTTCTCAGGTAAGATTAATCAAGCTATCAGATAAATTATGAAAATCATAACTACAGTACACTAACTCATTTTGAGTCTGGCTATATTGTCTGATAATGTTTTATTATACTCCTTTTGGTTTAAAATTAAAATGTTCAATTAAGTATGTCTGTTTTTACTGAACTGTGCTGTGTGTGCTTTATCTCCAATAACATATATCAACAAATTTGGTCTTTTCACATGAATTTTACTGTAAACTTCCTCTGTAGCAGGGTTCACCAACCTGATGCCCGTTGGTACCAAGGGGCCCTCAAGAACCACATGGGTGCCCTCAGTGTGTTTTTAGAACAGAAAAACTTCCCCAGTTGGATAAGTTTGAAATTGTATTTTATTCTGTTTCTCTTCTTTTTAAATTATCTATAGAGCATGTCATCGTATTAATTGTATAGGGCAATAAACCCTTTATAGATATTTCAAAATGACAATATTTAAAGGGAAATTGGAAATTTCAAGAAGCAATAAAAATATGTTAATTATCTATCAAGTTTAAGGCACCAGCACCGCTCGCAACCCCAGGTGGGATAAAACGTGACAGAAAATGGGTGGATGGATGGATGGATGAAGTTTAGATGGAGCTGTATCCTCCAGTTCATTGGTTAATATTGGTAGCCTTTCCTATGACTCATGACCCAATTAGTAGCCATCAGTCTTAAAAAGGTTTGTGACCACTGCTCTGTAGTCTTCAACTATCAAAAGGATGAGGATACCCCACAGTTAGTAGGATAGCGTCTCTGGGAAAAGGTCTGTCTTGTTTTTCTCCCTGTACCTAAAACCCATATAACTGAACTTGAAACACAGAAGAGATTGGCCAGATCGCATGGATTTTCTTTTCCTATAGGTGTTTATTTTAAGCAGTGATAGATCACTAAAAGGAAAAGTACGGTAAGCAAGGAATAATCAATGGATTATTTATACCTAAAACTAATAAGTTTGCTGTGATTTAACAAATTTAGCTGTAACCAGTAAAGAAATTCAAATATTAATTTTCATCGCGATCACTGAGTCTGGGAGCAGCCATTTATGCCATAATATAGTAACACCTCACTCCTGACATCTTCCAGCAGTGATGTCATGGTGCGGTAAGCCTAGGGTCATTCTCCCCGCTTTACAAGCAAAATCAATTGGAACTATTTTACACACCTGCAAAGAATAACAATAATTTTAGAGTCTCAGATGACTTCCCTATCAAAATTCACGAGAGCTATAGTTAAACTGACAATGCCCACGTGCATGGCATTTGAATGTTGCAATACATCGGGTAAAAGGGAAATAAAAATTAGTTTTTTCACTTCTCCGACTCATGATCCATGAGTTCGTCGTTGGATTGCCAACTTGAAGAGGGAGGATTTTCCATCGAACCTCTGGCCAAAGAAAAAACATGCATAATGTAGTCAAAATTTTGAAGAATGTTTTCAAGATGACTTGGATAATAGCTTGTAGTAATAAACAACAGATACAGCACTGGGACTTGCTCAACAGCCGATACCTCACTGCGACGTCACAAACTGGTGTTTGACGAACATTTAAATGAAAATTACTCTCAATTAAAAACACTTATCATTTATTCAACAGAATGTAATAATTTTATTATTTATTAGGTTTTTTCAGAAGTCAGATATATGACCGGACTTTTCCTCTAAATTATCGCAATCAATTTTATGCTATACAACCTGCCATACTGGGAAGCAGGCGATAAAATGCTACCGGCACCGCCCACCTGCGACGTTGACTATTGCGTAGAGTTCACGCGGGTATTTTTCGGGAGCGCGCTTTCCTCTCGCCAGCCATTCCAGTTTAGACTGAGCGGACGTCGCCATCGTCAGTGATAGAACAGATAAATATTAATCTCGCCACAAGCTGTGAGAGTCGTCGCGTTGCGTCTCTTCTGTGAACAGAACCAACAAACCTTGAATTCGCATTAAATATGCCTAATATCGCTTATTGTCAAACGCCTCAGGTAAGACTTTTCTCTCCCTTTTTCCTCCCTCCATATCCGTCATTAATTTGACGGCTTGATTAAAAACCATTCTATCTTCGTCTTGTTGTGATTTCCCATCAAGCCTGAACGTAATTGTAGGTTTTTAATGTTCGGTTAGATTGTAACAGGAAATCACCTGAAACAGCGCGAATGTTAAAGAGGCGCGCGAACCGCCACTTTCCGGATCTAAACGACTCATTAGCGACGCATTTAAATAAAACTCTCCTGACGGGTTAATTTAATGATCCAGGCAGCCGTGGCTGACACGGGGCTCCCCCCATTTTAGGTTGAGAGCAGCAGGTTGTTCGGTTTAAGCTAACATCTGCTGTGCTTCAGGGTCTCATCTCCGATGCTCGCTGAATAAACGCCCCTTTTCAGTTGATTTGCTGCCGCAAAAAATATAAGTTTGCTGTCCGTTTGGAATATGTGCCAATGTGGAGTCAGCCTAATCGCATACTCCCGATTCCTGACCCAGATTCCGGTGGGGAGCTCAGACTGGAAGACTTGTGGCTCGCTGCCATCCATCACGGCCCTGCTGCTGCTCAAGCTCGCATTAAACAGGGAGACACGGTTCCCTTAAGCGGGGGATGGTGTTTTAATGCCATATGTGTCCATTTATTCCTTTTTTGTTAAGAAAACACGAATCGGTTCTTGTGTTATATTTGTGTTATAATACCTGCTGCATTTATTATATTTCTAGATTAATCTGCTTTCAAGGTGGAAGCCACGTGGTAATCTACGATTATTTGAGGATAAAACACTTCATTTAATGCTGATTTATTATGTGGGAATAAAACGGATCACTTTAATTATCATAAGATGCTTTGTGTTGAATTGATTTTTTTTTTTATGTATGTGGGTGGGGTTGTTCCCTCCATATATGGGCTATATTTTCATTGCACCTCAACGCGTCTAAAATTGCAATCTGATGCACTCAAGCTCTTTTTAAAAACATCCATAGCGCCTGTCTTGTTTTGTAGTCGCTGTTAAATGTATGTATATTAAAATTCAACTGGTAAATTTCCACTCTGTGTGGGAATATCCCCCAATACTCAACTTGGCCACCAGGGGGCGTGTGTAACAGGCATTGATTGTTCAGTTGCAGACCTGCACGTCTGCGCTTGTTTAATCAGATGGAATAATTGGAGAGAGGGAAACTCATTTAGGGGGCAAGCCTCTGTAACAAACTGGGCAACAGAAACTGTTTTTAACAGGACTTTTTAGCGATTGTTTCCGATCTGTATAGCTGTTCTTTTTTAACAAATGGAATAATTCTGTCATCCCTGTAGTTTTGCTTGTTTATTCCATATGAACCTTGCAGTAGCAATCAGCAATTTTATACTGTTATTATATTTATATGTATTGGCTTTTATTTAGTAAATGCGGTTTCCTAAATGGCTTACTGGCTTTCAGAATGAAGTAGGTAAATGAAAGCTTTGTTAAAGAACCATCTAGAGGGTTGGGGGTGTGGCACGCCTGCCAGAGCTGCTTGTAGAGAAAAGAAAACAAGGCTGCATGAGTTATTGTGGTGAACCCAGCAATGTGGAGGAGTCCAACACTTGGGCCTTCATGTGGAATCTTCTGCCAGATGTTTTGTAAGAGCTTGAAAGTAGGTCAGTGCTCCATCCATTCATCCACCATCACACAATGGGTGTTTGCTGTGGACTGGAATATAAAATACTGTATGTAGCATAGATCTGGGTGCTGCAGATATTTATATATTCACTTATATCATGAATTTACGTGTAATTCATCTATAAAAGAAGCTCTAAGGAAATTAAAATTTCCAAATAAACATTCAGAATATTGAAATACTTTTTTTGCAGATTATTTTAGTTATCAATAATTAGGATTAATTTGATTAATTAATATATATCGTATTTCGTTTATTTAGATCAGTCATTTATTTGTTAAAGCTATACAGAAGTGTTAAGGTTTTCTGTAAGTGATAAAATATTTGTGTTTGAAATGAAGGGAGCGGTGCGTTACACAGGATGTGTAACACGGCTGTTAAAAGGGCTGCGGATTATTTCATATCTTGCTAATTAGGTAGAAATGGATTCATCAAATGATAAAACGGTAATTATTTGGCATTGTTGCCGGCTCAATGAGTGCTGACATTCCTTTTTATGTTTTGATTATAGTTAACTTCTAAAATTGTCACTAATATGAATATGGGCATGTTTGCCGAGGAAGTTATCACTTAATTCAGATTTGTCACACTTATTGTTCTGCGCTTGTTTGCGTCTGAAGGCTGTTCTCTTCTTTTTTTTTTTTTTTTTTTTTTCTTTTTTTTTTTTTGTTGCCCTCTGGTTAATTTTCTCAATATAGTATTTGACAAGTTTTACCGCTGCCAGGAAACATCATATTGCTGCCCTGCAAATAAAAACTTGATATTTTGGATTATTAGTTTTTTTTTTTTGTATGAATTGTTTTAGTAATTAGTATCCCACTCTATCAGGGTCCATTTATTTTAAGCTGTAATTTGTTCTCATGCCTTGTATAATAAATACATGGTTTGGTTTTGAGTTTAGAAGATCGTGAAAAAAGTGTCTTTATATATTCCTTTCCTTTCTACTCGGATGTTAAGTTAATCATACACAGAGATTATTCTGGACATGTAGATTATAAGTAAATTTTGTAACTCATCCAGAAAGTGGATGTAGATGTAGTCCTAAATAATAAAGAATGGTACTTAGTTTTTTTATTTAAGAGAGAACAATGTTCCCATAATATTTAATATGGAAGAGCTAACAGGAATCTGTAATTATTTGCACAGTAAGGGGGTTTTACTACACAGGATTTTCTTTCCTTTGTCTAATAAAGCTGTTTTGGCACAATGAGCTCAATAAACTGCCCTATGCAGATGGTAGAGGTGGTCATCCATGGGCTTAAAATTTTCTTAATATCTCCAATTAATATCTTGTTGGTTGGAGTGAGATCAGTATTTGACATTTTATTTTTCAGTAGCCATGTTTAATGTTTGAAGTGAGAAAGACCAACTGTTTTGGTGTGGAACTTTTCCCTATCCACCAGTCAGCACTTTTTCAGTGGGTGTGGAATAGAGCAGCAGGTTCTATGTTCTTCCTTGGCCAGGGGGGGTGGGTGGATAAAATGACTCCCTTAGGGGGAGGGGCCAGAACCCGAGGCTTGTCTCATAAGATGGCTGTTGGGAGGGTCTCAATTCACAGATGGACAACAAAGTTGGAGAAATAAGTTGGAGTAGAAGGCGCTTCCAGACCTGGTGGGATGTAGGGATTAAAGAAAGGAACACTGGGATGTGAAACCAATAGATGCATTTCTGGGTTCTCTTTTTTTAAATCAAGCTCTGAATTTGGTGAGCATTTTATTTGAAGATTAATGTGATTTAGATAATTTATCATTTATGCAACAAAGCATAAGAACCTATTCTTTATTTTAGTATAAAAGTGCTTTAAAGTAGATGTTGTGGGTCGATTGGTTTACAGATAGCTGGTTTCTACGCTTTGACACCTTTAATGAACAGGAAAGAAATCTGAACCGTTTTGGTTCCATCTTTTTGTGACGATACAAGGACGTTAAAATCTGGAAAACAAAGTGAATCTGAAGGAGGTGGAATCCTTTAAATAAGCCATTCTGTGTCCTTGGATGCTTCACTTACCACACAGAGCTGCTGACTCATGCTTTTATTACTCTGATGCCAAGAACAGACAGGGTTCATTTTTCAGTTAAAGAAAATTACAAAATTGTTCTTTTTCTCTCTTTCCTTATAGGTTATAATGCATGACCAACAGAGAATAAGTACAGCTCTATAGCCTACGGGATCTCGAGGACTTGATTACAGTCGCTTCAAGCCTGATAGTTTGTCCGTGCGGCTGCTCCCCTTCTCCCTTCTACGCACGTCTGTAGTCGGCTGGCATCTCCTCTAACAACTTCCCATCCCCCTCTCTCAGCTGAAGAAGACTTAGTCTGCTTCGCCCCTTTCTGTTCTACGCTCAGCGGCGGCGTTTCCCTGGATTTGGATTATTGTCTATTAGGTAAGGCTGTGACTAATGCATGAGGCAGATGATACACGATGGACACCACAAGCACGTTATTGTAATCCTCCCTCTGTAATACCTGATTTCATTCATTGATGCTCACAGTTGCAGTTTGAAAGAACCTGCTGCACGCCCTCTAGCTGCTGTTACTTTGTCACAATGTTTGCATGGTTTGTCTCTTTTTAGGTTTATCAAAATTCACCAAGATGACTCCAAACGGTTATTTGATCTTCGATGATGAGACTTTCCTGGACTCCACCGTGGCCAAAATGAATGCCCTGAGGAAGAGTGGGCAGTTCTGTGATGTGAGGCTGCAGGTAAAGGATTTCATTCTTCCTCAACCTCTTTCTCATTTTCCTTTTTTTTTTTTTTTTTTTCCTTCAGAAAACAAAACTAAATCAGTTTGGAAGTAAGTTGTGTTTTTCTGATCTAAGCAAACTCTCACCTCATGGTCCTTTTTTCTCCAGGTGTGTGGCCATGAGCTGATGGCTCACCGTGCTGTCCTGGCGTGCTGCAGTCCATATTTGTTTGAAATCTTCAACAGCGATGTCGAGACTCACGGAGTCTCGCATATCACTTTTGAGGATTTGAACCCAGAGGCTGTGGAGGTCCTGCTCAACTATGCCTACACTGCCCAGTTAGTATACAAGTATTTAATCCTCATTTGATTTGATCTACTTTGCTTTGGCGGAGCTCTAACAGAATCTTTGTGTTGGTGTAGATTAAAGGCAGAGAAGGAGCTGGTCAAGGACGTTTACTCTGCAGCCAAAAGGTTCAAGATGGAGCGAGTCAAACAGGTATGCATCATTTTTTATTTATTTTCCCCCGTTAGATATACCCACTTCTCTTGTTCATTGTGACCCAACATCGTCTCGCTCCGCAGATTTGTGGCGACTACCTGCTGTCTAAAGTGGATTCCCAGAATGCCATCTCTTTCCGGAACTTTGCCAACTTCATGGGAGACGGCAGACTTTTGGCCAAGGTGGACGCTTACATCCAGGACCATCTGCTGGAAGTTTCCGAACAGGAGGACTTCCTCAAACTACCAAGGTTAAAGGTAACCAAACAGAAATATACAGGGCTTTGTTTTAGTTCAGAAGTGAGCAAGGGCTACGAGGAACCTAGGCCCTAAATGTGGCGCAACAGGGATGAACAATTTTTAAAGAATATTGCTCTGAATGAGTGGCCATCTGCCGCTCATATGGAGCCTGGTTCTGATGGAGGTTTTCTTCTTGTTAAAAGGGAGTTTTTCCTCTCTACTGTCGCTACAAGCAGGCTTGGTGTGAGGGATTGCCTTCGATGCAATCAACTGGTTTTCCTTGGAAAACTTTGAATCAATTTGACTGGATGATCTGGTGAACTGTAAAGTGCCTTGAGATGACGTTTGTTGTGAATTGGCTCTATATAAATAAACTGGATTGAATTCCCCTAAACTAACTACAATCTTCTAGATGTTTCCTCTTGGAAGCTTGCTTGTCCAGATTCCATTGTGGCAGGGCTTTACTTCCACTCTTCGTTGAAAAATACTTTCATGCTAGCTGCAACTCTCCTACCCCGTGGCGGCAAACCCGGTCTACGTGCATTACTGTCACCTGAAGGGCTGGGCTGAGAAAGCCAGTCTCTTACTCTTGTTAAATGTAATGTGAACATAATTGACTCCTCTGCAACTTAAAAACTACGTTTTGTCAAATTGTGATTATATTTTAATAGCTCAGCCTTACTGCTGATTGCAGCCTAACTCTTTTTGCCTGGCTGGGGCTGGAACAACTGAAATGATTGGAGGATCTCTATTACGAAAACTAATTGATCACTGCAAAAAATAGAAATCTAAATAATTCAGTGCTTTTGTCTTGAATTGGGGAGGTATAAGTGAGACACTTTGCCAATGGTAAGAGACGATTTACATTTAAAATAAGAAAAATCAATTGCCTTGTCTCATTTCAACTGCATATGATCTAATTATCTAATTATTTTAAGAGTAAAAATACATTTTTGCTAATCTCTTGATCGTTTTTGCGGTGACGCAAATGATCTGCCAAGAGGCTCTGAATATAATGCACCTGTTTGCTCCTGCTGATAATGGCCAACGCTCTGATATCATGTATCAATGATGGAGGGAGACGGCAACAAGTAAAAAATGCAGGGAAAGAAAGTTTTAAAGGTGTAGGGTTACTTTAATTGGAATAACAAAGAGAACTGGACAGTGAGACTTAAAGCATCATTGGGTGGGCTTTGCTCTGAAGCCATGATTGAAGGCGCATTACTATAGGTCCACTCGACGTTAGCAGCAACATTTTTATTGGTAAATAGGAGCTTCAAGCATTCGTCTCTATTGGTCATAAAGTAAAGAGAATGTGATCTGTAAAACACAATCTTGAAATAATGCAAGTTGCCCAATTTTAAAAAGATAAATTTGGAAAAACAAATCTGAGAAATTGCTTAAAATCACTTTCAAAACCTTTCAAGGTTTTCAAAGTCTTAATTTCTGGATTGCAATTTTAAATATTTTTTTCATTATTTATATTAACAAAACATGTTCTTTGCTGGCAGCAAAAATGGAATTTACTCCATAAGTTTTTGAGGGATTCTTTAGGAATGCATTGATATAAAACTAAGGGCGAATATACAATAATATAAATATATAATGTCTCTATACTACTGCTTCATTTCTGATACTGATGTTGCAGCTTTGAGTATTAACAGATAAATAAATGTATTGCTTATTGTGTAATAAACCAAAAACAATGGTCACCAACAATAATTGACTAATGGACGTCTCATGAACCACAGCCTCCAAGCATAAACCAATGGAAAAAAAAATTCAAACATTCACAATTCCTGCAGCCTTTACTACACTGGCTCAGTCAAACTATTATCTGATGCTCTAATGCAATTTAGGTTTGGAATATTTTACAAAGATTTGACAGAAATGTTATACTCTGTATGTGCAACGTTAATGAAGATGTATATTACAGTGTTCCCGCGGGTCCTTTAAAAAGTCTTAAAAGGCATTGAATTCTTCAAAATAAAAATAAGGCCTTAATTGGTATTAAAATTTCTTAAATCAGTCTTTTGTAGCTCTTAATTTTTAAAACATCATAAATAGGATTATTTTTATAACGATTTTTTTTTGTAATCTAAATAAAATGTTAAAATTGACACATTTTTTTGTCTTTTTATTAAAAAAAATAACGGCTCGCCATTATTGGTTCCGTCCCCATAGCGGAACCAATAAAAGCGTTGTTGCGGCCGGGACATTTGGGAGATGCACCATTAACTTTTTGTCTGGAAAATATGAGGAAGTGTAAATGTAACCAAAATTGTCTCCAGCCAAGAGTTTTCTCCATGGCTAAAACCAGGGAACATACATGAGGCTCAGTGGATTTTGTGCAAGAAGTCATTCAAGCTCAGAACGATGGGAATTAAGGCAGTGGAGTCGCACATGTGAAGCACGAAACACAAAGCGTCAAAATGGAGTTACAGAGAAACAGCCGGTATTTCTCAGTTTTGTTCCACCCTTGTCTCTGCAACGCCTCCACTTATCACCAAATCAAACATACTAAGAAAACCATACAAAGAAAAATAACTGCAAAAAGACTTAGCACTGGTTATGTTGTGGCTTTAAAACTGATTTGTTTTGTTCCCTGCTAAAACAAAGTTTGTGAATTCAGTTGAATAATTGTTAAAATAGATCTGTCATTTGTGTGTTTTTAGCTTTCTTCCTGTATGGGAAGCTTTTCAAACTTTGAAACGTTAGTGCAGTGGTTTATGTTAGAATAAACCTTTGGGTTAAGTTGTCGCAAGCAGGTTTTTCTTGTGTTTCTTGTGAATTTGGTCTTAAATTTTTATTTCAAGTGGCATTAAAAGGTCTTAAAAAGTCTTGAATTTAACTTGTCTTATGCTGTAGGAACCCTGATATTAAGACTTTAGCTGCAATCGGAAGCGAAGATCTCTGAATAGAAATATATTTGTCATCCTTTCCTGAAGCTTTACAATTCTTCTGTTTTCTTTTACCGGTACTTGGTTATCCCTGCGTTAAATCCAGCCCTTCATGTTTTTTCAGTTAGAAGTGATGCTTGAAGACAACCTGACCCTGCCCAGCAACGGCAAACTCTACTCCAAGGTGCTAAACTGGGTGCAGCGTAGTCTTTGGGAGAACGGAGACCAACTGGAGCGACTGATGGAAGAGGTCAGTATCAAAGCACGCAAGCGTGAGCTCTCTCTTTGGTCGTACTCCCCCCCCTCCTCCTCCTGCTGACTTCAAGAAGTCATTAAGGAGATTGAAGTAGAACTGGCATGCTGATGTCATGCTGCTTTGTCTGGACTGTTCTTTTGTTTTCCACTGATTTGAGGTTTTTGGAGTATGAAACTGTATTCCTGATCCATACGTCTAATTAGAGGTGAGCCAGAAAGAGCTGCTGCCTGCTCTTGTTCCTCCTTTGGGTTTGTTTTTGGCTTTATTTTTCTTTTTTTTGTAAGTATGTGTGGTTGGTTTACACACAACCCCGTGTTAATATTACAGGGCTCGTCTCATCTGAAACACAAACTCAAAAGGTTCCTAAAGGTCTGGTCCTGATTCTGCTTTCTCATTGACCTTTTTTTTTTTTTTTTTTTTTTTTTTTTTTTTTTTTTTTTTTTTAATCTTTGTTTTTTGACTATCTGAACAGGTTCAGGGTTGTTGCTTCACCACTAACAGGCGCTCCTCCCCGTTGATTTTTCCCTGTAGGTTTATTATCATCAGCAGGAGACCAGACTGAGGAGCCAGGACTGAGCCACCAGGGTAAATGAGTCAAAGAAAAGAGGGAGGAGAGGAGTACCACTGCTGCCTCTCAGCATCCCCTCTTTGCAGCCAAGCAATACTGAACCCCCCCTCCCATGTGTCCCTTCCACACACAGAATGCATCCATTCCTCAGTTTACCACATCATTTTACTCACAAACATAAACCGAGCGTCTCATATTCTCCAAATCACGCCTGCGGTAAATATCATCAGATTGATCGGCTCCAGTTTTTATGGCTGAAACTCTGACCTGCAGAAATATTGGAACAACATTAATCAGATAATGTAATCTAATATTTGTTTACATGGAATAGTTGAGAACATATAAACTCTTAAATAACTACACAAGAGCTGCTCCCTTTGAAGCTAGATTAAAGTTCCTCCATGTTTTTTCCTGCACCTGGTAGCAGGACAACTTCTCTGAACTTTAAATCAAAGGATCTGCTGAGAAACAGGCTGCAGAGCAGAATCCGTTTCTTTGTGCTTGAGAAGCATTGAACTGTGGTCGTCTGCCTGCAAACCAAACATCTAACCTTTTTTTCTAAAGTGCAAAAACTCAACAGTAACACTTTTCACTACAGAGTGAAGAAAAAAGACAGAATATTTATATTACTATTCATAACAGTTGTGATAAATGATAGTAAAAGGTCTAAAGCAAGTCAGGACACCAACCCCTGACATCTAATACATGAATCTTACACTTAAAATGCTAACTCTGCTAACTATCTTGTTTCTGAAGACTAATTTTAGTCTTCTGCTTTACTACAAAGCTGTGTAACACTGATGGCGTTAGCTGATCTTTACTGATCAGTTGAGAATAAAATGACGTTGGAGCCGGACACCAAAACTTATCACCTTTATGGTTCTTAACCCTTTAAAGCCCAATCCAAGAATAAAACAAAACAGAAAATGACTTTTTGGGTTTGAAGTCCTTATTTGGCCTTTTAACAAAATATGTAAAAAGAAAAAACAAATATATTTTTGATATTAATAATTTTAGGGATGCACGATATAATCGGCCCCCTATCGGTATCGGCCTTAAAACTGAATATCGGACATCGGCCACCCCACCGATATTTAACCCGATATTTGATCAGCTTCTGAGTTTCTAAAGTCTGAAAAAAAATAAATACTACTACTTCTTCTTCCTCAAAAACTTATTTTTTACAGACTTAAAAACTTCTAAAGACGAGGGAAAAAATATTGATACATTAAAATATCCCAATATCTTCATACGCTGATATATTGCCATTTAAAAACACCATATCAATCTCTTTTACTAATGAAATATTGCTATATGTCATCGTTACGCTACGAAATCCCCCGAAAATTCATGAAATTTGGTCTTATTTTTATATGTTGATATATTGACGCGGTATCGATCTATTTTACTAACAAAATCTCATAAGAATTTGCAAAATATCACGAGAGTTTGTAACAGAACGATGAAATTTCACGAGATTTTGTAAGTAAAATAGATCGATACCGCGTTTTTAAAAATCAATTTGATATCAGCATATGAAAATATATTTGAGTATATTATTTTTCAAAGTGTCAGAAATGGTTAACAAAACTGCTATTTTCAATGACTAATTATTTTTGTCCAGCTTTAGCATCGGTATCGATATCGGTTATCGGCTACATGAGTTTTAAAATATCGGCCAAAATCCCAATATCGTGCATCCCTAAATAATTTATCACTATGCGATAAGTTAAGATTATTTTTTGTGTAGTCTTCTGTCCTCTGTTATCAGATACATCTGATTGTGTACTACAGAATTTTGAGCAAAGTTTTTACCATTAAATTATGCAAAAGGTGTCAGACGCAAAATATTTCAAAAACCGTATGTATCAAATATGATACATTTGGCATTATAGGGTTAATTTAAGTCGATTCAATTGTGATGTTAGAGAAAGAAAAGCCTCAGAATAACTGCCAAAATTATATCCCTGTACAATATTCTGAAAGTTATGTTGCCATGTTTCTAAGACTTTTAACATTTGAGAAATATTTTTGTTAAAAGCAAAATGCATAAAACTAAAGTTAACCCAGAGCTTCAGTCTATGACAAATGTTCAAAAGTTATGTGATCAGAAACTGTTAAAGTTGTTTTATTTTTTAATAATTCAAAAGATTGGGCTGCATTTAAAACTACCTGAAACGACTCTATAGATTTGGTTACTTTTGTTCAAATCTTTGGCTTATTTAGTTTAAAATGTTCTGTTTAAAGTTTTTATTTTTTTGTGATATGGGAGTTTTCTATCTGCAGGTCAGGAGTTCATGTGATCGGAAAATGGAAAAGAATCAAAACGGATCAGTTTATCTCTAGTTGGAATTAGTCTCCAAATGGTATTTAAAATAAACATTTCTGAGTCCGTCTACATTAGTCCATTGGTCTAATAAATTAGGCTGGATTATGTCGACCTTTTAAATGTCTCTTGTATAAATAGAAAAACTAAGGAAAATGAAATGCCTTGGTATAAAAGCTTTGTTTCCTGCAAAGCCTGTAATATTGCTGCCTCATTTGGCTTCAGTATAAAACCTTTTATGGGTAACACATATTATTGATGCTAAGTAACCAACTGAACAGAAAATCTGATTTTTTCCCCCGCATGAATTATGCTCTTGGCTATGATGCATTAAAACAAGCTGAAATTCCTCTGATTCTGGCCACCAACCAGGGAAAAAAGAAAAAACTTTTTGTAAAAAGAATTGGAACTGAAAACGTGGGTTTATTTTAATTTTACATATTCCTCTTAAAGGTATTGTGGAGATTGTTTTTATTTATTTTTTTAAAGACCCGCCCTCTCATTTTTATTTTCATTTTATTGTTTATTTGAAAGGGAACAGTGTACATTATTCAACATTAATACAATGTAAATATACCCGAGTTAGCTAAGGAGTGCTAATTTTCATCGGTACTCCCCCAGCCAGGTATAAAAAAGGCAACCTTAAAAATAAACACAAGTATAAAATGACAAGATAAAATTACAATACCAATTACATAAAAAAACATGGTTAAGAAATACAATTCATGTAAAATAATTATAAATAATTTAAATACACAATTATTTGCGCATGCAAGAGCATGCACAAGACCAATTTCTCCTTGTGCATGCCTGATGTAAAATATGCTGTTCTCATAGATCATACAAGCTTACTGTGTCCACATACAGCTGGGACTTTATAGTGAACTTAGGTAACTGACTGCTTGGACAAATGATCACTGCTTCTTGCTCCCCCGTTGGTCAAATAACTCCTCTAAGCGCAAAGCTTTCTGGGATATATCTGCCTCTTCTGAGGCCTTTTTCTTCTCATAAACTTCGTAGACACCTTTTTTCATACGATCCTCGGCCATTTTCAAAGAACTGCGCTGAAAAAGGTACAATGACTGTCTGAAACTGTAGCTCACCCTAGATATAAGCCTGAAAGTGCGCATGCACAGAAAAAGATGGCTAACGGTACGAGCACGTAGAACAGACTCGCCTAAAAATATCACTAGAATGATTGACCTTTAGAAGGAGCACCTATTTAGATGATCCAGCTGTCCTCAATACCTTTAAGAGAGGAATGACTAATTATAAAGTTATTTTCCTTTTTTAAATTCCTTTTTTAAAGTAATCATGTATCTGCAGCCTCTTTGCTTGTGTTTAGTTTATTTTTTTTAATTTAAGCATGAGCTGCAGGTTCTAAATGTGATGCTTGCTCTGGACTCAGCTGCCAACACAATGACCAACTTCTTCAGCTCAAGGACCGCTTTTAGAAGCCGCAGTGATTCCAAGAGAGACGCCTTCTATCTGAAGCTCTTTCCAGATGCAGTCTTTCAGTTTTTCCTCAAGTTTCCTGTTGCAGTGCGGTCCCATCGACTTCGGTCTGTCAACTGACAACCCTTCAGCAGCTCCCCTCTTTCTCTGCCACGGTTAACCCGGTCTGTGTGTCGGCAGCAGCCTGTGTGTCTTTTTGAAGGAGGTTTTCCATTCAACCGAAGATCCAGATGTTCGTCCCTCCCCCTCCTTTCCTGTTCACAGCTCTGCCAACCCTCCCCTCCTTCCTTCCTCCCCCCCCCCCCCCCCCCCCCCCCGTTGTTGGGGTTCTGAGTCTGCTTTGAAGACAGCCACATGGGTGTATTGTTCCTGTTTGTCTTGCAGGTGCAAACGCTCTACTACTCACCTGACCATAAGCTGGTGGATGGAGGGCTGGTGATTGATGGGCACAGTGAGGTGTTTGGTGGCGAGGACGACCACCTTCAGTTTGTGCAGGTATTCTACTGCTTGGATCTGGCTTCTCTGTAAATAGGAAGCCTCTGGCGCATAGCTGAGCAGAATGGAACGTAGTTTAACCTAGTGAAGCCTAGTAATGCATCTCGGATTAAATGAAGCCTGAACTTGTCTGCTGCTGTCAGCTGAGATTCGATGCCCGCTTGGTTATGATGTTAAAGACGGGACTTAAACTGCTTGGTGCTTTCTGCTCTAAAATGTGGCAACATGTCGGAGCTTTGGCTCGTTAAGATTCCAGTAGCTTGGCTCGGATGAAAGCATAGATTCGGGAAGCTTTTAGCTCTTGTTTTGGGCCACTGCTGGGCCTGAGGTGAAAGCCCGGCTTCTGTAGCTGCGTTGTGCTCTTGCAGAAGAAGCCTGTGCGTGAGAGCACCCAGAGACAGCTGAGCTGCAGCTCGTCAGGAAGCCTCTCGCCCTCCAACCAAGCAGCAAATGTCCAAAAACAGACCACCAGGAGAGACTGGAAGTACATCGCCTCTGAGAAGACCACAAGTGAGTATTCATTATTAGACTTTATTTATTTTTTTACTATCGAGGTAATAACCGTTTTTTCCCCCTACTTATTTTCCAGACAACAACTATCTCTGTTTGGCTGTGCTGGACGGAGTGCTGTGTGTGATCTTCTTGCACGGTCGCAACAGCCCTCAGACATCTCCAACCTCCACGCCCTGCCTGATGAAGAGTCTCAGCTTCGAGGCCCAGCCTGAGGAACAGGAAGAGCACCCACTGTCACCCATGCACTACGCCCGCTCCGGCCTGGGCATGGCAGCGCTGAACGGGAAACTCATCGTAGCAGGTTAGCTTCAAATAGGCTAGGTTTGAAGGCGGACAGGGAGGTTGGGAGAACAACACGCTCATGGCGTCCTGCTCTCTGGTTCTGTAGGAGGCTACAACCGGGAGGAGTGTCTGAGGACTGTGGAGTGCTACAACCCCAGTGAGGACTGCTGGACTTTCATCGCCCCCATGCGCACGCCGAGGGCTCGCTTCCAGATGGCCGTGCTCATGGTGGGTTCAGCCGCTCGTTCTTATCTAAAGCCTGCACCTGTTAGGACTCGTTCCACTTGTCTTGAGCAAACACAACAATATTTATTAACTCCCTGTCTAAATAATGGGGTTTCCTATCCTGAATGCTTTAGGCAAAGATTTATTTTATGTCTTCACCACGGCTCTCAGGGTCAGCTGTACGTGATCGGAGGTTCCAACGGACATTCTGATGAGCTGAGCTGTGGGGAGATGTACGATCCGCATACAGATGAGTGGGTCCAAGTGCCAGAGCTGAGGACAAACCGCTGCAATGCAGGTCAGTCTGCTGCACCCCCCACTACGCCACCACAGCTCTGTCCACTCGTCAGCCAGCCTGACTCAGTGCCGTCTCTTTTTAAAGGCGTCTGCTCCTTGAACAACAAGCTGTATGTTGTTGGAGGGTCGGACCCCTGCGGGCAGAAGGGCCTGAAGAACTGTGACGTTTTTGACCCTGTGGGGAAGACCTGGTCCAACTGCGCCTCCCTTAACATCAGTATGTATCCACTCCATTCATCTTATTCCTCTGCTGAACCCAAGGATTAAATATTAGCCCACCCATTTCAGATATATTCTTTTTTTTTTTTTTTTTTTTTAGTTGATATGTCTTAACAGTTAAAAACAGGCATGAGGGCGTATCCATTGAAGCCCTCCCAATAGGTCAAATCTACCTCGCATTAAATGAGTCTGCTGCATGACGTTGCTGTTTTCTGATCAATTGGATGAAAAGACTGATGGAGACAAAAATTAACCTGACTCTACCAGATGGATATGCGGAGCAAATCCGAAACCTTCCGTTGAAGTAATTTTGGGAAGGGGCGAAAATACTGGTTAGCTGATTGGCCTATGTTGGTGATAGACGGGCCAAATAAACCAATCAGATCAACGAAGCATATGACGTACTAACAGAGCGACGACGAAGAGGAGCCAATTGATAGATCAAACTCTTGCCGAAACCAGTCGGGAGAAGAGCAAAAACATCTTTTCCTCTGAGAAAAGCCTCCAGAGCAGTGTTTTGCTCTTCTTTCAGTGAAGAAATACTCTGTAATTCCGATAAAACTTGCTCGATAGCCACGCTAACGCTAGTTTCATCGGCTGAAGCCGCCATGTTCTTTAGACTGAACTGTCGCGCTTCTCGTTGTGTCACACCTCAACCCGCCTCAAAGCCAACTCTGATTGGAGACTCTCCGTTAAAGAAAATTTGGAGCCGTTCACCAAAGGAACGTCCAGACTGATCTGCGAGTGAAACCTTGAAAGCTCGCGAGATCAGGATGGTCTCACGAGGCTAGACAAAAATTTGAGCACAGACTTGAATTGCTTAAAGTAACGCAGGAAGCTGAAGTTGAATCCGCACTGAAGTCGCTTCAATAATAGTATCTAATGTTCCCAGGGAGGCACCAGGCTGCAGTGTGCGAGCTGGATGGCTTCATGTACGCCATCGGAGGAGCTGAGTCATGGAACTGCCTGAACACCGTCGAGCGTTACAACCCCGAGAACAACACCTGGACTCTGGTAGCCCCCATGAACGTGGCCCGCAGGGGAGCCGCCGTGGCCGTGCACGCAGGTAAGCACCAGTTTTATAACATTTTTATTTCCCTTTGTGATTAAAAAATTCCTTTTGAAAGGAGTTGAATAAATTAGGATTTATTGGAAACAAAGTGGAAAACGGTTGTTTTCCTGAAGTAGAAAAGATGGTTTTGAAAGAAAATGTTTTTGTATTTATTTGGTCAACTTGACTATAAAAGGGTGAAGCCTTTAGAAACAGGCAGGAGGCGGAGCCAAAATGGCCATAAACTCATTCTGTAAAAGGTTTAGTTTGAAGGAAATGTGTAATATGTGGTGGCCTAGTCAAAGTCCAGATCTAAATCCAGTTTAGAACTCCTCCGTTGGTAAAGTTTTAGCATCACCTGGTTTAAACCCCAAATAAAACCTTCTTAAAGGAACTTTTAGAATTGATTAAAAAAGCTAAATGATCAGCGGTTTGATTAAATTGTTTAATCCGACAGCTTGTTACTTAAAAAAAAAATAAATAAGGCGACTGTAAGGAAATTTATTTAATCATCACTGTAGCGTAGAAAAATCCCAATGAGATACTTTGACGTTTCTAGATTTGATGTAACAAGATGGAGCCTGATGTTTGCCTTCTGGTCCTCTACGCAGGCAAGCTGTTTGTGGTGGGCGGCTTCGACGGCTCCCGCGCCCTCCGCTGCGTCGAGGTATACGACCCCGCCCGCAACGACTGGAGGATGCTCGGCAGCATGATATCGTCGCGCAGCAACGCCGGCGTGGCCATGCTGGGCGAAACCATCTACGTGGTGGGCGGCTTTGACGGAAACGAGTTCCTCAGCACGGTGGAGGTGTACAACCCCGAAACGGACGAGTGGAACGACTGCACCAAAGCCCCATCCCCCCTCTCTGAGTGAGGAGAGGGGAGATGGGGGGGCGAGGAAGAATGGGGGACAGGGTTCTGGAGTTTCACAGTGCTTCACTCATTTCCAAACTAACAGGCTTAGTGACGTAATCGTGTTTCGTGATGTTTTTGTGTATTAAAGGGTTTTATGTGGGGTGGGGGGTGTTGAGTTGAGGAGTCTTCAGTGAAGACTGGCTTAATCAGATTTTTTTTTGGGGGGGGTATTGCTGCCCAAAGCAACATGACGCCTTTGCATATTGCATAGATATTGGTTTTGTCTTGTATATATTTTGTTTCTTCCTCAGATTTTGTCAAATGCCAACATTTCTAAACATTTGGTGTTTTTATTTTATTTTTTCAAGTTTAGGCTTTAGTCAAATGCAGGATTTTTAGATGAGTTTGCATATTCGATCACCTAGAAAGCTGTAATAATTTGGGTTTAGAAATGAGAATTTTATTTAAAGAAATTGTTTTGTTTTTTTTCTCAAATATTTAAAGGTCAATGGTTTGAAGCCTTACTCGGTGTGGGTTGCTAAACACCCGTCACAGTTTTCTGTCATTTTAAACAGGCTGGGTTGCTTTTTGACTCTTAAAATGATGGCCTTTTTTATATTTTTATACACTGCTGATTTACCAGTAACATAGACGTAGTGGCAGAGAGCTTAAATGAATCTTAACCAGTGCCAGATTTAGTTCTACTTTCTTTGTGCACATCGCAACTAAAAACGCACAACCCTGCTTCTGCTAACAGGTTGTTTTTTTTTGTGTGATTTTAACTAGTTAACATTTGTAGAGCCACAGTTTACTGAGAATCCTTTTGTGTTTTAAAGTCAGGCATTGGTGGATTTTTCTGGAAGGAATATTGCAAGAAATTTCACATTTGTAACATTTCTTAATTAATAAAGCGTATAAATCCGACTTTTGTCTTCAATCTGTTTTGTTATTGAGGTATTTCAAAAAGTACAAAGTAAACAGATTCTGATCTTATTTGACGAACAAATTTTTACTGCATTTATACATTAGATCAGACTGTACTGTAAGCGACTTCCTCATTTTTGAGCTAATTTGAATGTTAGATTTTTGAACCCTTAGGTTGCCTTGCAATAACGAACGGCGTATCATTTGTTTTAGTGTCATCATACACCTTTAGTCACTGAATCCAAATTATTTAATAAATGCACTAATACAACCACGCCCTATGAAGACATTTGCAACAAAACCTTGAGCCTTAAAACCTGATCTTAGTCATCCGTCATTCTACTGGGTTGAACGTTAACACTGATCTCTATTCACTGGATTGTCAGAAAAAAGTGAAACCACCCTCCGCCATGCTGGTACTCCCCCCTCCCACGGAGATGCGCTGTAAAAATGCCTACATGAATGAGAATTTGGCTGCAAAAACCAGCAGTTTGCCGACTGTAGGAAGACGTTCCACTGGTAATTTCAGTCAATGGATATACCAACCAAGCAAATCCATATATATGCCAATGTATACAACATCAGTCTTACTATCTTGGACTGACTGGAAGATTTGACTAAAATAGCCATCGACATTGTGTCTAATGTAAGAAAATATTAAGTAAATAGTAATTCCCTGTGAAACATCAATGCAGTAATTCTTTAACCTGACTCCGCCAGATGGATTTGCTCCGCATATCCATCTGGAAACCTGAAGTAATTTTGGGAAGGGGCGAAAATACTGGTTAGCTGATTGGCCTATGTTGGTGATAGACGGGCCAAATAAACCAATCAGATCAACGAAGCAAATGACGTACTAACAGCCAGGCTACTCTTGCCGAAACCAGTCGGGAGAAGAGCAAAAACATCTTTTCCTCTGAGAAAAGCCTCCAGAGCAGTGTTTTGCTCTTCTTTCAGTGAAGAAATACTCTGTAATTCCGATAAAACTTGCTCGATAGCCACGCTAACGCTAGTTTCATCGGTTGAAGCCGCCATGTTCTTTAGACTGAACTGTCGCTCTTCTCGTTGCGTCACACCTCAACCCGCCTCAAAGCCAACGCTGATTGGACGTCCGTTTGGTGAACGGCTCCAAACTTTTTTTTTAACGGAGAGTCTCCAGACTGATTAGCGAGTGAAATCTTGAAAGCTCGCGAGATCAGGATGGTCTCACAAGGCTAGTAATTCTTTATAAATGCTGTCATTTTTATATTCTCATTTGAAAAAGTTATGTGCTGAAATATATTGCATGTTATATTGATAAAAAAGCAACTCAAACGTTTGACCCCTATATATATATATATTTATATATATTTATATATAGCATGCATTATCAGACATGTAAGATGTAATTACCATAACAATCTAATACATGTGTATTACATGTACATCAATTTAGCACTTTTGGTACATCTGTATCATTATGCTGAATAACACATTGATTTACAGACTTCATTGATGACTATGCAATGTGATGTGCCTATTTATTTTTAATTATAAGTTAAAGTAATCTACTGATGCTATGAAACAGCAACTGTGGGTCAAAGTGATAAATTTATCTTTATTTTAGTCTGAAAATGAGATCATCGTTGTTCGATGCTGTAGCGCACTTATTGTTTATATAGCGACCGGTCTAACTGGGGAGTACCAATATGGCGTACCCTGTACTACCAATGGGCAATCAGCAATCCAGTGACTAAATAGAGACCAGCGGTTAACCCGTCTGCCAATGTAACGCCGCCGTTTCTTGGACTGTGGCAGCGTTTTATGGCTCTGATGCAGAAACCGCCTGGTTTCCTGCAGCTCATCCTCCAGCGTTGCTTTGTCAGATCATTTACGAGTCCGATTTGTATTTTCTTCTAACATTTGTGTGATGCCTAGAATTATAACCATTCCTCTATTTTAAATCTGGTCCGTCATACTGTGGAAGAAAAGATTTTTAATCTTTCTCTATCTTTGCCATAAACTCTGTTTACACCCTTAGAAAGAGGCTGCAGTACTGACAACTTATTGAGTTCTAAGGTTTGACTTAATTTTTTTTTAACATGGATTTTCCATCTTTAATAAATTAGCCTACTGTTTTTTTTTTTTCTGTGGCTCCTGGTTAAGCTCACTCCACATACTCCAATAGTTGTCCAATTACCGAGTCACTTCCTTAACCTTTTTACCTCTATCTGTTATATTTTGCTACTGGCCCTCTATAGTGAACCGGGTTATTTTCAGTCACACTAAGTGTCTTATAGAGGAGATTAGACTAAACTAGCTAAGGGAAGAAAAAACAGGAAGGCAGAGTCCCTCTGGGTTATGAAAGAGGATTGGCTTTTTTTTTTCATGACCCCAGACATCCACGGCTACCTGCCAGAACCGGTTAAATCCCTCCCTCTGTGCTCATTCACAAGTCAGTGTCATAATCTGCTGATGCACCTGATGGCTGCAAATGGGCCGTGAGCAGGAGAAAGAAGGTACCACTTCTGTCTGACCATTTAGCATATGCTTACATAAAATATTTACTTTTCCAGGTACATATCAGTAAATAAGAATATCAGGTTCTCAGATATTCAGGTCATAGTACTTCCAAAAAAAATTAAAAACATTCCACTGGACCTGGTTTCCAAGTTTGAAGACATTTCATTCCCATCCAGGAAGTTTTTTCACACATTTGGAATTGAAAAAGCTTCCTGGATGGAAAACAAGTCCAGTGGATTTTCTATACTTAATTGGAATTTTTTGAGTTCTTAGATCAACCCTATAATGCCAAATGTATCGTATTTGATACATACGGTTTCTGAAATGTTTTGCATCTGACACCTTTTGCATAATTTAATCGTAAAAACTTTGCTCAAAATCCTATTGTACACAATCAGATATACCTGATAACAGAGGACATAAGACTACACAAAAAATAATCTTGACTTATGGCATAGTAATAAATTATTAATGTCAAAAATGTATTTGTTTTTTTTTTTGTTTTTTTTTTGTTTTTTTGTTTACATATTTTGTTCAAAGGCCAAATAATGACTTCAAACCAAAAAAAAGTAATTTTCTGTAATTTTTTATTCTGGGATTGGGCTTTAAAGGGTTAACAAATGAGATCAATTCAAAAGAATTCCAACATCATCTCTACTCATCCTCCTGGACCTTGATTTTTAAAATGAAAGAAAAACAAATCTTAGTTTTATCACAGATTTTAAACTCTTTTCAGTTTCAAAGTACTTAAAAATAAATCTGAAAGCACATTTGGTTTTTAATTTTACATTCAATTTTGAATAAACAGGGGAATTAATGGTAATCTTTAGTATTAGAACATTAAAGCTGCTCTAGTTTATGTGCTGCAGGTCTGGGATTACCTAACATGATCAAAAACTTTAAATACATACTAGGGATGCACGATATTGGGATTTTGGCCGATATCCGATATGCCGATATTTTAAAACTCATGTAGCCGATAACCGATATCGATACTGATGTTAAAGCTGGACAAAATACGTAGTCATTGAAAATAGCAGTTTTGTTATCCATTTCTGACACTTTGAAAAATAATATACTCAAATATATTTTCATATGCTGATATCAAATTGATTTTTAAAAACGTGGTATCGATCTATTTTACTTTCAAAATCTCGTGAAATTTCATTGTTCTGTTACAAACTCTCGTGATATTTTGCAAATTCATGTGAGATTTTGTTAGTAAAATAGATCGATACCGCGTCAATATATCAACATATAAAAATATGGCAAAATTTCGTGAATTTTCGGGGGATTTCGTAGCATAACGATGACATATAGCAATATTTCATTAGTAAAAGAGATTGATGTGGTGTTTTTAAATGGCAATATATCAGCATATGAAGATATTGTGATATTTTAATGTATCAATATTTTTTCCCTCGTCTTTAGAAGTTTTTAGGTCTGTAAAAAAGAAGTTTTTGAGGAAGAAGAAGAAGTAGTTTTTTTTTTTTTTTTTAGACTTTAGAAACTCAGAAGCTGATCAAATATCGGGTTAAATATCGGTGGGGTGGCCGATGTCCGATATTCAGTTTTAAGGCCGATACCGATAGGGGGCCGATTATATCGTGCATCCCTAATACATACAGCAATACCAATCAAAGTAGCTGTAATTCTAAAGACTGTATAATTTCATTATATTAAACACATTTATTTTTAAAGGAAATAAAAGTTTTAATCTTTATCAGAAAGGGAGTTAACAGATTGTCTTGTTGACAAGTTGTTTTGAGGTCATCCCTCAGGCTTCTGTCATCTCCAGTTCAGAGGCTCAATGACAGGAAGGTAAAGTCCGCGCCATACCAAAATCTTTTTCTCTGTTGCATGTACATTTTTTTTCACCGCTCAACTCTCCATACGGGTCTCTGAACAGCCAACTTCTTGAGCAATGAGCCGATCGTGTCAGCAAACATAACTTATTCATCTAAAGTATCTTCCTTCATTCTTATGTGTCGAATCATGACTAAATGTTAAATTAAATATTTGAAGTCTATGTGTAATCACTCTATGGGCTTCAGTTCATGAACTGAATAAATAAAAAAAATTCTATTCCTTTAGGTGTTGAATGAAAACCAGAAGATGAACATTTGAAGGTGAACTTTATGCAAGTTTGAAGATTAGACAGCAGATCAACAGGAAATACTTTAACAATAAAATAAATTTTGTTACTAACACTTCTGAGATTGAAATGACATAGTTGCATCAGCCACTAAATCAGGGGGGTGATTCATATGCTACACTTCATATTTTTGCTTGTATAAACTTCCCCCTCTTCCCCATTTATGTCATTCTCTACCGTTATACGGAGGACCAGGAAAGTCAGGCAAAAAAAAAAAAAAAAGTAGATTAAACATTTTAATCACAGGACTAGAAATCCTTAAAACCATTTTTTAATGTCATGTTTAAAATAAAATTGAAGACGAATTATACATTGTCATTTTTAATCCAATATTTAAAAACACTTTATCAATCCGATTTAAAAATTTCCATTTAGAAAAAAAAATTTCTAAACAGAAATTTTAAAAAACTTGACTCATAAATCTAATTAAAAATACCTTTTATCACCTATTAAAAAATGATTCCTTTTTCCATTTCTATTTTCTTTTCAACATGCATTTAAAAATCTTTTTTGCAATCTTTTCACCTTTAAATACAATTTACAATTGCGCTTTATAATTTAATTTAAGATTTGCAATAACAAAATGCTTTTCAAAGTGGATTTCTAATTCTGATATGTAAATGTTTAATTACAAAAAGTTCTTTGTGACTCTTCTGATCCTCCGTACCACAATAGAAATACTAGTTTGTAGCTGTAACATAAAATAGTAAAAATAAAGGAATACTTTTATAAGGCACTTTAAATGTTAAAGGTCAAACAGACTTTATTGATTATTGTTGGAATTGCTACGAAAAAGGCTTAATGATTCACCTTGCCTCTAGTACAGTGGTCTGCAACCTTTATGATCCAAAGAGCCATTCCTACCCTCAGTCCTGCTAAATAAAAGATATTTCGCATCAAACTGAGTTTCAGTTTCTTTGGATTAAAAAAAAACATTTTTTGCAAAAGAAGAAAGCAACCAAAAAAAAAAAATGGCTAAATTTTTCTCCATGGGATGCTAATGACAAGCAAAATCAATTATTGATTTAGGTTAATTCTCTGGCACAAATTCAAAGCAGTTTTACAATGAAAAATTGTAACAAAAATAGTAAAATAAAACCCATGGTATTTTTTATAGTATCCATTGATATATATAAAAAAAAAACACAAATAGTTTTTTTTTTCCAGCTCAAGTCATTAAGAGCCACTGTGGAAGATCACGGGTTGCAGACTGTTGCTCTAGTAGGAAACACAGCAACATTTGCTTAAAATAACAGTGTCAACCAGTTTCATTTTAAATAAAAATATAAGCTAACCATTACAAAAAAATCAGGAACAAGAAAAGCTAAACAGAGCTTCACGGTGTGGCTTTAGAACACATTCGTCTGGTCCAAGTATACATAAAATATACAATACAGAACAAATATTTATACTTAGACTGAAATATCAGTGTATATATATCTATATTTATATATATATATATATATATATATATATATATATATATATATATATATATATATATATATATATATATATATATATACACTGAGAAATAAATTTCTACATGAAAATAAACCTTCAGACTTATTAAAAGTCTCAGCACTGTTTCTGTTATGGTGAAGGTGCTTACAGTTGAGAAAAACATGGAAACAAGGAACAGGTCTCTTATTGCTTAGTGTTCAAAGACCCTGAGTTTATCAGTACTGTGTGGTAAAGGCGAAGTTCTCTCCTGTGGTCTGAATACAACCATCCAAGGCCTTTTGCAGGTCCATTAGCTGTTTCCCTCCAACTGAGAGCTTCTCCCTGAAAACAGAGGAAAAGACTGAAGACAAAGTGGTGGAAGACTGGAGCAAACACACCAAGAATCCTAAATAAACACATTCTTCCTCTCTGTTCTCGAAGCTTTTAAATTTCTACGCTTGCTTTAATGCCGGCTTCTGCTAGCACTTGTGTTTTTGGTTCCAATCTAAACCTTATTACATGCTGACCTCTGCATTTACATCCTCAGCAAATACATACAGGTGCTGGTCATAAAATTAGAATATCATGAAAAAGTAGATTGATTTCAGTAATTCCATTTAAAAAGTGAAACTTGTATATTATATTCATACATTACATACAAACTCATATATTTCAGATGTTTATTTTGTTTAATTTTGATGATTACAAATGACAACAAATGAAAATCTCAAATTCATCATATCAGAAAATTAGAATATTACTGAAGACCAATAAAAACAAAGGATTTATAGAAATGTTGGCCAACTGAAAAGTATGAACATGAAAAGTATGAGCATGTACAGCTCTCAGTATTTAGTTGGGCCTCCTTTGGCCTGTATTACTGCAGCAATGCGGCGTGGCATGGAGTCGATCAGTCTGTGGCACTGCTCAGGTGTTATGATAGCCCAGGTTGCTCTAATAGTGGCTTTTAGCTCTTCTGAATTGTTGGGTCTGGTGTATTGCATCTTCTTCTTCACAATACCCCATAGATTTTCTATGGGGTTAAGGTCAGGAGAGTTTGCTGGCCAATTAAGAACAGGGATACCATGGTCCTTCAACCAGGTACTGGTAGCTTTGGCACTGTGTGCAGGTGCCAAGTCCTGTTGGAAAATGAAATCTGCATCTCCAAAAAGTTGGTCAGCTGCAGGAAGCATGAAGTGCTCTAAAACTTCCTGGTATGTGGCTGCGTTGACCCTGGACCTCAGAAAACACAATGGACCAACACCAGCAGATGACATGGCACCCCAAACCATCACTGACTGTGGAAACTTTACACTGGACTTCAAGCAACGTGGATGAAGTGCCTCTCTTCTTTTCCTCCAGACTCTGGGACCTTGATTTCCAAAGGAAATGCAAAATTTACTTTCATCAGAGAACATGACTTTGGACCACTCACCAGCAGTCCAGTCCTGTTTCTCTTTAGCCAAGGCAAGACGCTTCTGACGCTGTCTGTGGTTCAAGAGTGGCTTGACACAAGGAATGCGACAGCAGAAACCCACGTCTTTCATACGTCTGTGTGTGGTGGTTCTTGAAGCACTCACTCCAGCTGCAGTCCACTCTTTGTGAATCTCCCCCACATTTTTGAATGGGTTTTGTTTCACAATCCTCTCCAGGGTGCGGTTATCTCTCTTGCTTGTACACTTTTTTCGACCACATCTTTTCCTTCCCTTCGCCTCTCTATTAATGTGCTTGGACACTGAGCTCTGTGAACAGCCAGCCTCTTTAGCGATGACCTTTTGTGTCTTGCCCTCCTTGTGCAAGGTGTCGATGGTCGTCTTTTGGACAACTGTCAAGTCAGCAGTCTTCCCCATGATTGTGTAGCCTATAGAACTAGACTGAAAGACCATTTAAAGGCTTTTGCAGGTGGTTTGAGTTAATTAGCTGATTAGAGTGTGGCACCAGGGGCCATCAATTTTGAACCTTTTCACAATATTCTAATTTTCTGATATGATGAATTTGAGATTTTCATTTGTTGTCATTTGTAATCATCAAAATTAAACAAAATAAACATCTGAAATATATGAGTTTGTATGTAATGTATGAATATAATATACAAGTTTCACTTTTTAAATGGAATTACTGAAATCAATCTACTTTTTCATGATATTCTAATTTTATGACCAGCACCTGTATCATAATGTTCCAACTATCTCTCCATTATGATTCATGGTGTTTTTTCAAGCCAAGGCTTGCTTGTGTTGCTTGCGCTTGAAATTTATTTTACCACATGTTTTAAAGCAACAGCTTTAAAAGCAAGCAGCACTTGAAATTAACTGCAGAGCTTTTCCAGCACATGGTTGGAAAACGTCGGAGGGGTCACCGCCATGTGTCCGTGAAGCAGATGCTCGCACAACTTTCCAGCTACTTTCGGAGCGCTGATGCAGAAAGTCCTATAATCCTGTCAAACCTGAGATTGTTGTCATACTTATGGTCATTGACTATTGTTCTCTGTTTATTTTATTTTTCTATTTTATTATTTTTTAACAGTGTCCTCTCTGGCGATGTGACAATAAGAATAATTGTCTTGATGCCAAAAAGAGCCCAACAGATTTTACTTTCACAAGTGGAGCAGTATGGCTATTGCTATAGTGTTCTGCTTGTTTTATGGATATAAATTGCTTTATTATAATTATGCAGGGAGTTTTACAGATAATATGAACACTGCAATGTAGGTGGAACAATTTGTCCAATCCACAAGTGTATAATAAATGGGTCAATTTTTGTCATACTTATGGTCATTGACCGTTGTTCTCTGTTTAAAGGGAAAGTTTGGAAGTAATTTGTAGCTAATTTGCCTGTTTGTTAACAAAAATCAAGTTATGTTTCCAAAAATATATACTCTTCCAAAGTCTTAAAAAAATTGCATTAAAAATAAAAGAATTGCCAAAGCTTAGAATAAGTTGTTTAAAAATATATAGATGTTGGTGCACCCAATGGAAGACGCCATGCTGCCATCTTTGATTAGAGTAGCTCAAAAAATGGCGGATGTTGGAGTTATGGCAGACTTTGGTTACGCATGAAAGTGGTGCAAAGCGTGACTCTGATAGTGAGCTGAGAAGGTGTGAACGCACCTGGAGAGCGCTTTACTTTCAATAAGACATTCCCCCATTTAGTGCAATCACTGCTACCTGATTAGACAGTCACGATCAGAGCGGGAGTTGAGCTGGGTGCAGTCAACAGTTAAGACTCACTGATCTGGAAGCTTAAACATAGGCGGATGTTGAAGGAACCGGCTTAAGAGGTGTGAAGGTGACGTTTACTGACAAGCTGACATTAGCTTTTAGAGACTAAAGTAGTAACCTACATTATGTACAGGGGTGAAAGTTAGCCAATACTTCAAACTACTGATGTAAGCAACATGCTAAACATTCTTTGATTTCATCCACAGTCATTCCTGCACTATATCCAAAATAAATATTTCATTATTTAATGGTAGTTTTGAATATAGACCTAATTTTGACATATCTTTCCTTTAACAAAGAGTTCTTGCATCATCAGAGTTACCGTTTACCGTATTTTCGCGACTATAAGGCGCAAATAAACGTTTTTTTCCCCCTCAAAATGTGTCGCGCCCTATAGTGCGGTGCGCCCTATGTGTGTTGTTACTGCGGACGTTGTTGAGACCACCATGAGAACATTAAAGGGGGAAGTGTGGGCGTAGATCGGCTGCCACGCAAATGGACAGAAACTGTCGCCTATGGTGATTTTTAAGAGAAAGACTTTGCCTAAAGAGACTTTTCCAGCTGGAGACGTTATTAAGGCAAATGAAAAGGGCTGGATGGATGAGGAGATGATGAAAGCGTGGCTGAGGGAGGTGTATATAAGGAGACCAGGTGGTTTTTTCCACGCATCACCATCGCTGTTAATCTGTGACTCCATGCGTGCCCATCTCACAGCCGATGTGAAAAACAAGGTGAAACAAATGAACGCTGTGCTCGCTGTTATTCCAGGTCTGACAAAGGAACCGCTCGACATCGGTGTGAACCGGCCGTTCAAAGTAAGGCTGCGAACGGCGTGGGAGCGATGGATGACCGACGGAGACCACAGTTTCACGAAAAGTGGAAGGCAGCGCCTGGCAAGTTACGCCACAGTTTGGGGATGGATTGTAGATGCTTGGGCTAACGCGTCCGCCTGAAGTGTTGTTCGAGCTTTCGCACAAGCCGGCATCATTTCAGAGGAGCCGCCCGGGATGGAAAGTGACTCTGACAGTGAAGAAGGGGAAATTGGCATGTCTGATTTAGCGCAGCTGTTTAATTCAGAAACAGAGGATGATGACTTTGATTAAAGGAATAGTACACCCAAAACATGATTAGCCTTCATTTTCTACTCACCCCCATGCTGAACAACACTCTGGAGTACTTTTTTGATATCTCAAATGCATCTGGAGATCTGGGAGGCTTCTTGCTGTCTGCTGACATTCAAATAATGGAGGTCTATGGCGCCCGAGACAGAAAGGTCCATAAAAGTCCACAAAAAACGTGTCAATATTCCTCCATACTGCTCGTCCAATGTATTCCAAGTGTCCTGAGTGGGTAGCATCCAGAATTTACTCGAAACGAAGTCATTTAGAATGTTTTTAGAGCATAAACAGTAGTGTATAGGATTTCCTGAAAGCGCGCACACGCGCGCTCACGACGCTACGGAAGCCGGCAGATCAAACCAGATGAAAGTGCGCATTCAGCGTCTGCTCTTCCAATAATGCAAGCGTAGAAGAAGAAATGTGCTGTTTACCTGTGCAAAGAAAGAAACAATGAAAGAAAAATATCTGAGGACTTCAGTGTTGAGGAAGAGCATGAGTTTTTTGCCGAGCTGAATGCGCTGGTTTGGTCTGCCGGCTTCCGTAGCGTCGTGAGCGCGTGTGTGCGCGCTTTCAGGAAATCCTATACACTACTGTTTATGCTCTAAAAACATTCTAAATGACTTTGTTTCGAGTAAATTCTGGATGCTACCCACTCAGGACACTTGGAATACATTGGACGAGCAGTATGGAGGAATATTGAAACGTTTTTTGTGGACTTTTATGGACCTTTCTGTCTCTGTCACCATAGACCTCCATTATTTGAATGTCAGCAGACAGCAAGAAGCCTCCCAGATCTCCAGATGCATTTGAGATATTAAAAAAGTACTCCAGAGTGTTGTTCAGCATGGGGGTGAGTAGAAAATGAAGGCTAATCATGTTTTGGGTGTACTATTCCTTTAATACTTTGTAATAAATACACGAATAAAGCACAATCTCAGTTTTGCTCCCGCTCTACTTTTAAATACGCAGTAGAGGTATTTAAACGTAGTAGAGGACATGTACC